TCCTCGTTAGCGGAATCCACCAAAAAGAGCAAATATGAGAGACTGTCAATGCTGTGGATATGCCTTTCTGCATAACAACTAGCACCTAGGATAAAGTTCCTATCTTGCTTTGACGACATCAGCCAATCAATTGAGCATTATTTAAGCATAAGTATGTTTCCTGAGATAAAAACAGCTGGCAGTTTTCAAAGGTGGATAGCAAGATGGAAAATAGATAACTTTAAAAGTTAAATCAAACTGTTTTAGGCACTACAATTTCTCTTTCCCATGCTCCTCTACAGTAAGGGTTTCGTAAGCAGTTTCTTAAAAATTTTCTCTGTTCCCTATTTTGGCTTGAGAAACTGTTATACGCAAGCCGACTGCACAAAACCAGTTGTTTCACATACAAGCTAAAGCCCCTTTCCCTCTGATCTTCTTGTTGCAATTATCTGAAGATATACCTAACAGAAACAACGTTTTAAAGAAATGGTGTCATTTTCAAGTTAATCACCCTTTTAAAAAATGGGCAAGTGGGGGAGGGGGGGGTAAGTTTCACAGCTATCTTACACTCCAGGCTCAAATTTATCTCTATTTAGCAAGCATTAACAGATGGCTTATCAAAAAACATTTAACAGCAGAAATGATCAAACTCGTTCTGAGATGTTGTTTTTTTTTTTTTATTTTAAACAGTAAATACTCCCCAGACTAGTTTTTAACTTATGCCAGCCTCCCAGGGACCATCAGTTTAAGATCTAATGTTAGAACCATGCATGTTATTTCATTAAGTACATTTACCATAAAACAGTTCCAGCCTTTGCTTTCTCAGTTGCAGACAGCATTGAACAAATACCTCTTGAAAGTAAAAAACATCTTCTACCTAATGCGGTGTGTTACCCAGACCGTGCAACAGAAGCTTCTGCTTTCAAGCAACTCATAGCCAGGCTTGACAAACTCAGGATTTATGCCGTATGATTAAGAAAGCAGTTATCAAGAAGGCCAGCTACCCATCACCTTCATTACCTTTCTATTTATCCAGTGATATTCTAGCTTAAACACCTACTCAGCTCAAATTTAACCTTCAAGGAGCAACCTACTGGTTTCTTACCTGGAATTGCTATCAGGAAGGAAGGCTGTGTGTCCAGCTTAGCCAGACCCCCTCCCTAGCTTGTACTGGTCAGTCGAATAAAATATAACCTCTCTCCTCAAATCTCATTCCTTCAGCTGCAAGAACAATCTTGGAGATTGCTCTTGGTCTTGGAGACATGCATGAGGAGCAGTGGGTATGGAAGAGACATGGCTATTTAAACCCTCAAGCTGCCACACAGACTATTCAACTCTTTTCCAGCTAGGTACAAATTTTATAACTGTATAACAAACCAAGATTGTGTGAGAAGTTAAAAGTAATTAAAGGATTCTTCCTCTAGAATATCTCAAGGTTCCTATATGACTGACTTGTAGGGCCGCTTGGTGCATTACCTAAGATTGAACTCCCTAGGACCAGGGCAGTGCTGACCAATGCTAAAAGCAGCACGCTGTGCTAAAGTTGTTTAAAGAAAACTTGAAAATAGGATTCAGTGCAAAAGCACGTCCTAGAATTACTTAAAAAAAAGAAAAAAAAAAAGATCCTGTTCATAGCAAATCTAACAGCACTGAAATCCCTGAGAGCTTGTGACACTCAAGTACCCTTCCCTTCACTTAGACCCTCTGACCTAGCAAACCTTTTCTGTAGCTGTTTATAGAGCTGCATTCCTCTGCAGGGGAAGTGGTGGTCCTTACACATGCTGCACCTGCTCGGCTGTACACCTGATCCCTCCCGCAACCGAAACAGCATAGTATCACCTTATTCTTAATGAAAAATACAGAACTTCATTTCCTCGGGAGACAAAATCATATATCACAGCAGAGAGAGTCCAACGCACAGCCATTCTGTAGCCCTTATTCCTGCTTACTTCCTAGGGAACTGTGGTTCACTTTCCGAAGCCCAGTCCATGGCTGTAACGTCCACTGGCTACAGCTGCCATCCTCCAAAAATTGAGTGGGTTTAAGTCCTGGCCTGAAAACCCAACGCAGGGATTGTCAGCACCACCGAAGCTCTATTGCTGACAGCAGGGGCCATGGTTGTTTCTCCAAGTCTGTGTCACTGATGAGATAACACCATGAGACAGCAAAACAGGCCTCAAACATCCCTTCTGGTATGATTCACGTTAACAGCATTTAGGGCAACATTACTGTGTCACTGGATGACAAATAAGATGCTGGGGCTCTGAGCTGGCAGCTATAGGGAAACACAGGAAGCGATTCATAGACCCAAAGAACGTGAGCTTCCTCTCGGGATCCTCCAAGCAGCAAGGAAAACCCATGTTGTGTTTCTGTCTCTGAGTGGCATTTCGTATGCTAATAAAACTTAGGAGAGGACATACAGCCTTTGGATTCTTACTAAGGACTGCCAAGGCCAAAACCCTAAAACACTTCCATCTAGAAAGATGCTAGTGCCATGCACACTGAGGCCAACAGATCTCACACCTAATCTGAGGTGTCTTTTCTGAGGTGTCTTTGAGGCTTTGGTAGAATGACAAAATCATTCAGGTTGGAAAAGGGCTTCCAGATCATCTGCTCCAACCATCTACCAATGTCACCCACTGAGCCACGTCCAAGCTCTCCTTAAACACCCCCAGGGACGGTGACTCCACCACCTCCCTGGGCATCCTGGTCCAACGCCTGAGCACTTTTTCTGAGAAGAAACGTCTGCTAATTTCTAACCAAAACCTCCCTTGGTGTTTTGCCTCCCCTGGTAGTTGCAGGCAAGACCAGAGGTGCCACTCCGCAGCTGTGAGGGAGAGCAGCCACACAGCAGCTCCTTCAGTTTCTCCATGCTTCCACCTCCCCTGGCTTGAAGTGTCGTGCTTTGGAGGAGTTTGGAGGACGGAACTCCTCAGGAGAGCATCTCCAGCCCCAACATCTGAGGGCTGCTCCCTCCTGGTCTGGCACTGAGGGGGGCTGGGGAAGCCCCCACCACTCTCTCCCGCTTTCTGGCTGGGCACTGAGAGCTTCTCCCCACTCTCCCCGACCCCGCTGGGCACAACCCGGGCCAGACCCCACACCTCAGAGCAGCCCCGGGCCCGCCACACGCGGTCCCTCCCCTCCCGGGGGCGGCCCCACGGCGGCCCCTCCGCCGCTGCCCTTCCCCTGCCCTCGCCGCCCCTCTCGGGCACGGAGCGACGACGGCGCAGCCGCGCTTCGAGAATAGCCCCCCCCCTTCCCTCCGCCCCCTGACGGCAGCGGGGAGCCCCCCTTAGCGACTACGCCAGGAGCGCAGAGCGCCCCTTAGCAACCGGCTAGGCCGCAGCATCCCCGGCCTTTCCCAGCCACCGCCGCCGCCTCCCCCTCGCCCTTCGGCCGCAGAGGCCTCGCTTACAGGTCGGTGCCGAGCTGGGTGAAGCCGGAGTTGAGGCAGCCGCGGGCTATGCGCCTCCAGAGGAGATCGCGGCTGCTGAGGAAGCGCAGGCGGCGGCAGACCTGGCCCAGGCGGCCCAAGGCCTGCACGTCCAGGTAGGAGCAGATGAGGAGCAGCAGCTCCTCGGGTAAGGCCCAGAGCGGGGAAAGGGGAGGGGAGGAGGGGGGGGAGGCGGCCCGGGATCCCCCCTCCGCCTGGGGGGATCGGGGGCTGCCCTTCCTCCCCATGGAGCAGCAGCTCCTGCCCCTCCTCCCCGGGAGCCGGAGCTGCTGCTGCCCGGGGGAGGCCAAGCCATGGACGGGGGCAGCCGCTCCCCAGTCACATGGGGCAGGAGCCGCTGCCTGTCACTGCCCCCCTCCGGGGGAGGAGGCGGTGGCGGCCGGGGTGGGGGGGGACACGGGGACACGCCGAGCCCACCCTCGGCAGCGAGTTAGTTCCTTAACGGGGGCCACTGGGACTCCCCCGTGGACCGTCCACCACCAAACTGCCCCCCCCCCCCCCGGGGTTGGTGTTCGTCGTAGATGGTGTTAATAACGGCACCTTGTCTGCGTGTTCGCTAATAACGTGAATAATTAATGGTGGGAACGGTGATCCCAGGTAAGCAGAGCATCTGCTCCGCCACCTGGAGCAGCCCTGGCTGGGCTAGCAGCCCGGCGAAGGAAGGTGAACAGCAAGGTGATTGCTGCTCGTTAATTATCCTCCAGCAGGGTCAGGAGTTCCTGTCACCCACGAGATGACAGCAGGGGTCATCTGGTGTTGCACTGCTGGTCTCAACTGCCAGATTCCCGGGCCACTTAAAAGGAAGGGCCTTCCCCATGTGAGAAGGGGCCTTGCTGCAGAGAATTTAAGGCTGGCTTTTTGCTCAGACCCTGCAGTGCCATCCATTCCCCCTCCACAGAGCAGGGGCTTAAAAAGTGCTCACACTTCACACGTGTATGTACATACATATATGCACACCACCACCAAAAAAAAAAAAGTTCTTAATAACTGAGTCATTATTGCCATCCACAGGAGCCTGGAGTACTGACAACACAGAAGGATCCTGGTCCAAAATGGCAAAGTAGCCTTCCACAAACAGTGGAGCAGGAAAATCTGATTACAGTGTTGTGCTATTCTTTCTTGCAGTATTTTCCACTCTATGGAAGCTTGAAATGCTTGGGGAAACTTCTGCCTCAGAATTAAAAAATAGATAAGTTATGAAAAGTAAATCATCCACCTAGAATGCTTTGTACAGGTATCGCTTACCCTCCACAGACTACATCTCCTTTTGCATAGTGGAGTAGGAAAATAAATTTCAGCATATAATGAGGTTACCATAGCAGACAGGCCTTTTAGACAGTTATTGCATCTACTTCCAGAAGGTCGTCTTGTCTACGTAATCTCAAGCATTCAAATATTAAGATGACTAAATCAGCAACTCTGGAGGCCTCGTATTTGAGTGGTTCAACACTGCCAGCTGAGGAACTGTCTTGTCCATTTAGACTGAGTTTCAATGCAAGGAGATTCCAGAAGACCAGAAGAAGGCAAATGCTTTATCAGCATTTATTACGAGTGAATCAGCCCAATTAATTACAAACTTCCCAGCCTAATATAAACCTCAGGTAAGATAACAGCACATCTTTCAGCACAGGATTTCAGTAGCCAACTGAAAGGGAGGTAACGTAACAAATGTTGCTTAACAAAAGATTATGGAAAGTTGGTGTGAATGCACTTTTATAACAAACTAATTCAATATCTTTTAGATGACATAAGCTTAAACATGTATTTATAATTAGCTCTTTTGTAATAAACTTTGGCAATGTCTGATACATTAAATTTATTAAAAGCTGAATGACTTCTCTGTCTTAAATTGTTATTGTAAAGAGAGATTTATTATCAAGTTGATCTTTCTCCAGTGGGATTTCAGAGAAAGCTTATGGACCCTACATTATTTGATATTCGTGACCTGGAAAAAAATAATCCTGAAATCACTATTAGCAAAGTTTTGTAGGAGGCACAAAGCCTCAGGGAAGAGCCAAAGGATGCTTATGGCTGCACAACCTTATGTTAAGTTTAGGCATAATCAAATTATATGTATTTCAATCAAGCCAAATGTGAAGTTTCACATCTAGGAACAAAGAATGTAGGTCACACTGAAAGGATGTAACTCTATCCTGCAAAGCTGCAATTCCGTAAAGACTTCATTAAGATGAATAATCAGCTGAACGTGAGCTCCTTCTGCAGTGCTGTGACCAAAGGGCTGGTGCTGCCCTGGGAAACAAACAAGCCAGGAGGTTCTTTTACCTCTGGTTTTGACTCTGTTGTGACGGCTTTGGAAATAATTTGTCCAGCCAACATTTCAAGAAGGATGTTGAAAAACTAGAGGGGTTTCAAAGAAGAGTAGTAAGAATGATTGCTGGACTGTCAAACATGTTTTATAGCGAGACCCAAAGTGCTCAGTCTATTTAGTTTGCTAAAGAGAAGGTTAAGGTGTGAGGTGATCATGCCTTACGAGCACTGAAACAGGAAGACAAATCTGGTAACACCAGGATCTTCAATTTAGCAGACAAAGAGATAAGATCACTTGACAAAAGGTGATGGGAAACAAATTTATAAATAATGCATGTTTTTGAAGAAAATTAACTGTTGAAACAGCTTATCAAGATTTATGGTTGATTCACCATTAGTGGATTTCTTTAAAATAATACCAGATTTTTGTTCCCCTAAGAGAGCTTGATTGGAGCACAACAACTAAAACTTAAATCAGGAATTTATCTAGCAAGCCCTAGCTCAGGAATCACACAAGACAGTGAGAGGGGTCCCTTCTCATCTTAGGCTCTGTCACTTTGCAGAGGCTACATCTGACATGTCTCTGGTAGTTGCATCTCCCCACGCTATGTGACACCCATATTCCTGTCCTCAGCCTGTGCCACTTTGCCAGGGAAACAACGTGGTGCACTCTGGAAGGAGCCTGGCTGCAAAGTCAAATGTGCAGTGTGGCCCTCAGCGATACCAGAACCAAAGCATGGATAAGTGCATCTGCAAAGCAGGGCCTTAGTGCTCTCCAGTTTGTGGCCCAAGGTAAAAACAACTATCAAAGATTTGCCTAAGATGGAATGTTTGTAAGCAGTAATCTCAGAGAGGCTCAAACACAATCTGGACAGGGGTTGTAAATAGTATTATGGAGAAAACAATATATGATATGTTGCTCTCTTAAATGCAACATTGTTTTCTAGTGTGGATAATTGCCTTACAACATTTAAGAATAATTATTTTTTTTGCCCCAATGGATATAATCCATTATTTTCTTTGTTAAGAGGAATGGACCTGCAACTGCATACACTTCTCATGCCTGCTTTCAGCTGCTGTGTGACTGCTGTGGAGCTGGCAGTGCTGTGCATCATGGACTAAGATGCCCAATGGCTCTGGTCTCATCAGTGCTGACCAAAGTGCATAGGTAGGTGTCTGCAGGAACAAGAACCAAGGAAGGTTTTGAACTGTTACTAAAACTACACGTATCATGATTTTTGCTACACTGTTGGAACTCTAATAAAGAAAGAAGTCAATGCAGGTTCCCAGTGCAGTATAATAAAGTCAATAATGCAGCCTTCACATATCATACAGTCAAAGATCCCAGTCCTTTCATGACCCATGACCACTCTGAACCTCTAGAAAATGGGGCAATGTTCTGTGCTGAAGTAGCAGACCATTCCAGCTTGCAAGATTTGTAAGCTAAAAACGGGAGCTGACACCTGTAAAGGCTGCGCTTTAACAGTGCAAGTCAATGAAACTCAGCTTGGAAGAAATACCTTTTCAATGCCTGCCTTTTTTTCTTTCTTTCTCCTGTCTTCAAGGGGTTTTATTCTTCTTTGCAGTGCCCTCAAATACACCTTTCCAGCTAAAGACACAATCATGTGGACAGCTCTTTGTTTTGTTTTTCCTTCCAACGAATGCTTTTGTGTATTTCTGAAACTTAAGACACCTCCTCTGCTACTACAGTACTTATCTGTAACACCATCGCTTTGAGGGATTAAAGCAGGTTACTTGTTACACACTTAGATCAAGAGTTAGCTGAGTAGAAAGTCTATCCCGTTAGGGTTGGCGGAATCTGTTTTTGATCTTGAGTTGTTTTGATTTTCTCTGAGAGCAAGTAACATGTTATTTTAACTTCTGAATAAGGTGTGCTACCTGACTGTGTCTCTTCTGTTTGGCAGAAAGGATTAGAAACCTCCACGGAACTTGCACTCTATTAAAGCAGAGTGCTCACCATTGAGAACCAAGGAGCTGAATTGTTTTCAGATTATATGTGTGTGTGTGTCTTTCCCACATCAAAGACTTTGATGGAAGCTGTTCACGCTATTGTCAGGAATGCAGGGATTGGCACAAAGGTGATTAGCAAAATTGCTTTTCTGCAGTAGAAGCACAAAAATTATCAAAGGATTAAAGAGGATAAAATTAAAGGTTATACTGAATTTGGGGGTGAATTTTCTCCTTTTACCCCAGTTTATGCATATTGATTTGGTTTTACCTATAAAGGGATTGCCAGAAGAAATTAGAATTAGAAGCTGTTTGGTATGAATTCTGTTAAAAGGCAAGGGAAAATCTTCCCTTAAAAATAATCCCAACAGACCCTATTCTGTATAGTTCCAAACCACTTCTACAAGGAGCTTTTAATGAGAACTAAGGGCACCCAGCCAGGGGCCAGCCCTACAAGGTTCTCAGCAGCCACAGGATCAGGACCTTTATCCATAAACTATGCTGAAAATTATGAAAACAAACAATTCCATAAATCAGTTTGTCATCAGTGATGCTGTTTGTTTACTTTTCTCACTACACTCTGCTGACAAAGATACTAAACGGAGGGGGTCGCTCTCATTATCCACTTGCTAAGTGCATGCAATGCTTTTTGCATTTTCATCAACAGCTGAGCTGCTTGAATGGTTTGAAAAACAGCGATAAAAATGGATTGACAAATATTCTAATGTATCAAAACTAACAGCTGAGCCTTCCAGAAGCTCTCTTGCTTGGCAAAACTGCAAAGCAATAGTAAAATAATAATCATAAAAAAAAGGTATAACCTCCCATAGCCAGCAGAATTGTCTCATCTTTCTGGTTTAGACTCTGTTTGTTGTTCATTTTATTTTGAATAGTCTTCTATTACAATCCTCTAAATACCAGCCCTATACCTATTTCGTGTCTTTGCATTTTGAGTTTGGTTTGTTTGTTTTGCTAGTCTGCTATTTTCTGGAAGTCACCCAGATTATTTTATTTGTTTTTAACCTCATTTATCAAAGTATTATCTAAAGCATCTGTTCAGAAAATGTTCATTTTAACTGTTTTCCCAACAATGACCTTCTTCCTACCCCCCAGGCCACATCAAGTTGTCACTCACCAGACAGCTGTGGAATTTGGAATCATTCCTTTTAAATGCTTTACAATTCCAAATGGTAGATTTCTAATGGCACAATATGATTGCCACAAAGATCTTTAAATTTCCCAATCCTCCAGGCTTCAAAGGCTGGACCGTCCTTGATCTCCTGAAGGAATGCTTTTGAATCTTGTGCTTTTATAGGGGCTACCTATGAAGATATTTTAGGGGCTTTTTTTCTTTCATACTTAGAGCCTGAGGAACTAAACATTCAAATTCCCACTGGCTTCTTTGAGAGTAAGATCAAGACTTACACAGTTGTTTCTAGTGTTTTTCAGCTCTATTTTCATTAATTCCACAGGTTGTTCCAAAAATTTTTGGAGTGTTTAGAGAATCATGTAAGAGTATCCTTGGTGTAGCGGTGGCTGTGGTACTGTTTTAACCCATATCTGCCTTCCACCTACTTCATCCAGTCCCTAGCTCGTCCACGAGCAAGTCTGATGGTGTCCTAACTCAGCGTGCCCACGGGCACAGAGGGCTCCCTTGCTCTTGGAGGATGCTCTGCTGTCATATTTGAAGCTTCACTTAGGACATAATAATAAGGAAAATGAGCAAACCTCATCCTACAGGCAGCTTTGGGTCTGCCTTGACTGGACAATTAAGACAGAGCTTAATTGCCTGCAGCAGTTACAAATTTGCAGAATTACTACAGTTCTAGGCTTCCTTCATCTCTTTCCCCCTAGAGACACAGGCAACATATCACTGGCAGTGCTTTCTTGCACAGTAGAATTTCCTCATTAAGGAGGCTGCCATTTTTTTATTTCTCACTGGTTAATTCAGTTTACTCTCATCACTAAATCACAGAGTTCAGCAACTTGAAGTTAAGTGTTTTATAGTGTAGCAAAAGGAACCCAGCTGGTGCTAGAAACCTCCCTTTATTTCTTCGTTCAGCTCATGCCAAGCCACGAGGCGTATTCTACCCTATATTTTCTACCCTATATTCTCTTATTAACGAAGCACACACGTATATACACGTATAAAACAAAACAGAGGGTAAGTTATCACCCTGTCTTTACACTGTATGGTCTGGTCCTGCTAAGGAGCACCATGTCCGTGCAAGGGCCTTTCTAGAACAGTCATCTGTAGGTTTGGGGTCCTTGGCTAAAAACCCCACGGGGAAAGCGCTGTGCTTTCTACACTGCTCCAGCATCCCCCAGGACGTGACCTCAGACTCCCAGGTATTATTGTAAGTAGCAACCAACGCTTGGTCACTGCTGTAAGTGTATGTTTAGATATCCCATATTGCACGTGATTTCAAAATAGGCCTCAGCCTAACCTCGGGTTTTGTGACAACAACAAACTGCAGCAGCAACTAATTACTAACCCAGTTTATGGGTCAGGGAACAAGCCTTAGATCCTCATTTACACAGGTTTCTTATGATCATGTAAGCCCTACCTCGCCACGACTATTTTTGTTTGTTTATTTAGATCAGTTTAAAAAAAAAAGAAAATCCCACATCCCAAAATAGAGAATGTTTTCCTTTGGAACTGGGAGAAAACACACTTGATGGCTTTAACATCTGCTGGACAATGCATGGATGGTGGTAGGCACCTCACACAGTTTCGTGACAAACACATGTGCGTACAGCGTGTCAGATTATAAATCCAAGAATAAAGAGTCATTAAAACCTCCCTTCTACAGCCCACCTGCCATGAAAGTAGGCCTTTCACTCTATTTAAACCGAAAACGAGTATTGGGAAGGAAAATGCCGACATTCCAGGGATTCAAGTCAAAATCTCTCCCTCCGATAAAGGAGGTCTGTCAATTGAACGTAAATTGATTCATTGTCCGTCTCCCATCAGGGCCCATAAGCCACCCCATGCACATATGCTTCTATTCTTGCTAGAAACCGAGACCTCACAGTCCTAAAACCACTGCAGCAACAATTGCATTTGTCATTGGCTTGATCTGAAACTCTGCATAATTCCCAAATACTTCACTTTTGCAGCGTGTTAGTGCCTGGTACAATTTTGGGGTGAAGATTCCAGCGGGATTAGCTTGCCACCCAGCAGAGCAAGAGTTCCTGCAGCTGCACCATTGGTGCAAATCTGTCTGCTCTTGGAATGGAGGAAAGGAGAAAGAGACATCTGCACTCTGGATCAGCTCTACTAGAACCACCTGAGTACCACGAGTGACAGATTTGGTCCTGTTCCTTCTCTTTTCCTCCGGGTATGCAATGGATTTATCATTGCTGTTGTGTCTGAATTGTTAGGAGCATTATGCCGAAACCCAACTCGAACGACAAACCAGCCAGGCTCTGCAAGGTGCCTGTGCCTCTGCAGAGGAGAAGGGGCTTCTGACTTTCAGTAGTCACTCTTGAAGCCGAATTGACTACGATGTGATGACTGATAAATCATAATGCCTCTCAGAGCTGACCCTAGAGCTGTGCCTCTTCACCTTTTTGGGCACCATGAGACTTATAACTGCGTTAGTACAGACAATAGTTTTTTGAAAAGGGGTAAAGCCCACAGCACTCCAGCAGTTTTTCCTGTCGCATCCCTCTCTTTCCATGCACACGAACACACAAATGGGCTTTCTCAGCATGAAGCTCTGTAGAAGGAGCCAGTGGAGCCACCTACCCCCGTGTGCTCATTTTCCATCACCCGTTGCCCTGACGTGCCAGGCCCGCTGGCTCAGCGGGTGCCCTACCAGGTGTTGGGCCGTGCAGGTGTGTGCAGAGGCACAGCAAGCGCAAGCACAGACAAAGATTCAAATACCAGGGCTTTTCAGCCTGAACCTGACACTGCCACTTTAAAGCCAGCGACGCTGACATCAAAGTTTTCCACTCCCCAGAAGGAATGGACTATTTTGCGCCCTTCCAAATGATGTCTCTCATCTCTCTGCCTTTCCTGCAGCCTTGTCTCTCTCTCACACACGCTTTTTCTAATACCATCCCTCCCTCTCCACTTCAAACCATGGGAAAAACCTAGGAAAAGAAGCTTGCCGACTAAGGGAGCGTTTCGCTGCATTGTGTTTTCCAGCTAGACCTGAACAGACTGAAATCAATTCAGCTCTCGCTCGCTCGCTCCCTCCCTCTCCCATGTCTTTTTTTGTTTCTCTTAGATCGTGCTCCCTGCCTTAAGAAAGCCCAGTTTAGTTGTATCCATCCCCATAGCAATCAAGTGACCGGTGGTTTTTATTGCTTGTAAAAACACAGTATCTTTTTCATGGGAGTCAGGTTCTTCTTTGGTTTGCAATGCCCAGTGAGCAGTGGCAACAGCCTGCAGAATCTTTGATCAATTCTCACATATCCATTTGAAGTATCTTTAGTGGACCCGTCAGAAGAAAGGGGCTCGGTAATTAGTATTTTAATATAGTATATCGGCCTCTCATCGTATTACTGGCACGGGGCCTGGTTTAACAGAAGTGCACAGAAATACCTGTATCTGATCTAAATCACTACGTGCTCTAAAACATATACATTATTAAAGCTGAAGTCCAGCTGTTGCTATATTAATATCCTCTGATTTTTATTTGCTCCTACCTTTTGGAAGGTTTCGGTTTTCATTCTGAAATTTTCCAGGCTTGCTCCCAATACCGAGGTTATAACTGCAGGATGAGAACCAGAGGAGAATGCGAGAAGGTTCACTGGAAATTTGAACAGGCGAGATTCAGCACAGCAGAGCCAGAAGGGCCAAAGAAGGCAGAAGCGATGTGGAAACAAGCGGGGTGACTGTGTCACTTCAGTCTTGACCATACCACCTGTAGACAAAGGGACAGAATTAAAGGTGTGTGTGCAACCCGGCTTTTATGCCTCCCAATCTTTGGAATATTTTTGCAGTTAGTGTTCCCTTAACATAATTTTTTCCTTCCCCTGAGTTGCCCAAATTTTCAGGGCCAGTTGTGAGGTTGCTGTAAACAACACTGGTTCCCTGCATGTAGCAGAATTACGCAGCTTTGCATCAGAACAGATTGACCAAAGGCAACATAAAAGTTACCCATTTGACCTATCCAGAACTTCCATAATGAAGAAAACCCAGCAACCAAGACCAACCACAAAGCAGAAATGTCCAGGGAAAGCCAAATAACACCGCTGCAAAACAGTTTAAGCAACACAAATGAAGGTGTTGCAAAGTTGCAGGTTATCACCACCAGCAGCAGAGCCCCAAAGGGGATTTTATAACTTACCCTAGAAAAGAAACCAATGCTTTTGCAGTCAAAATGGACTTGCAAAGTCCAGTCAGTGGATAATGGCATGCCCAGAGCTTCTTCTCACGTAGCCCCAGTTAGCTCCAGTTGGCCACAAAATAACAGGGGAAGAGGTCTCAATATGCTTTACTGATAGACGGATGAAAACCAGCACTGGAGAAACCTTCTCACCACTTGCAAGACACTCACTTTGGGTCACGTCATCCACCACCCAGTCCCAGGGCAGGTTCCTCACTTAAGAAATAGGGTACCTGAAGTTTCCAGTTGGAGCAACCCTAAATACAAGCCATTGTACTAAAACCTGCCTTCCAGGTTGGCAAACTCACTTGTGTCTGTCACTGCCACTGAGTATATGTGGCAGAACTGGTGGGTGCTCAAAACCACTGGAAATGTCATTTTATTTAGTGCTTAAATACCATTTTCAGAGCCTAGCTTCTCACATGCACTGGGACCCACTCTCCTTCTGTATTATTTTGCTGTAATACAAGCTTCAATACTACAATTCCGAACTATTTCACAAACAGCACAGCATGGGCTGGTTTTCCTCAGCACCTCGAGTATACTCGTAGCATCTGGGAACTGCCTCGTAACCTAAACTGCCAGTGATTTGTAACCAGTATCTCCCATGTACCTTTATTTCGGCAGCACCCAGATCATGGCCTAATTATTTTCAGCCAGCTGCACAGCTTCTCAGAGCTACGTTTCAGGAGAAGAGGTGATTAATTATGACCCTAGTTTTGTACAACGCAGGCTTTTAGGTAAAGGAATTGAGCTTGAGCATTCAGATCAGCAACAATTTCTTTTGGCTTCTGCATGTCAGTGTGGTGTGTGTCTATAAATATTCTCTGCATTTAATAAACAGTGTATTGTGTAAACACAGTTTACCAAATACTTTTCCTATAAATGAATATATGCCAAGTAACACGCAGTGTAACATTCTATACAAAATGGCAGAAAAGGATAAAATATTGCACAAACAGGAAATCCTACGTGATAATAAGGATTGGTTTCAGAGCATAAAGCAATGAGCTAGAGTTGATGTTATCTCTACTCTGAGATAGCTCCTGATTAGCGTGTTTAATCATTAAATAAATAAATAATAATAATAATAATAATAATAATAATAATAATAATAAAAGAACAGCTTTTGGAAGTTTTTGCTCTGTTCTTTCTTTCTTAATTTGTCTCCTCTCTCTCTCATTTTGAGAAAAACAGCGTCAAAAAATACTTAAACTTTGGTCAAAGCTTCAGTGTATTGACATTGTCAGTGTATTTTCAGGAACAGTTTCTGAAGAGATCGTTTTCTTAGTCACTATGATTTCTTCTGACTATTCTGCCTCGTTATTTTTTGTAATGCAAGATTAGAACATGAACACAAGCTGTTTCCAACACTTGCAGGTGCTGAGACTGCCTGGCATCTCTAGCTGCCTAATTCCAGGACTGCTGAACTTTTCTAGCTTGCAAATAATTGTCGTGATTGTATGCAAATGCCATCTCTTGGGACTCCTGCAATAGATACTGTAGGAATGCAGTTCCCCTGGAAGTAGCCAAGAGGGATCCACTTCCCTGCACATCTTAAAACGCTATTTGGGGTGTAAAACACTCGCCATCAGAACTCTCAATTATGTCCCTGTAAATCCTGAAATCCTGAGAAGAGGGTTGAAAACCGGGTATACACTCCAAGAAACAAACAAACAAAAAACAGCCAAAAAAAAAAAAATCAAAAAAGGAAAGATAAAAAGGGAATTGGGCAGAATAAAGACATTTTCCAGGTCTCATGAACAGATGAACTATAAATGTTCATCCAAGAGATCTGAACTTTGTGCAGACAGCAGACGAACATCATATGAGAAAGGCAGAGGAGACAACTACAGTGAGAAAGCAGAGAGATGGTGTTGAGACACTTTCGGGGGGGGGGGGGGGGGGGGGGGGGGGGGGATGATTCGTTGGGCCAAGTGACCTTTTCCCATCCAGCAATTTCTTCTGTCCCAGTGCAGAATGACAATGGGAGCCCAATGGCAGCGCAATCTGACATCCACGCCCGTACCCAAACAGATTCAGCCCGGCCGCGCTGCGCTGCCGCAGCCATGGGATGCTGTGAAACAAGCCAGACCCAAGTTTCCAACTTGCCCTCTTTTCTGTTGTTGTTGTTATTGCTGTTTGTTTCCATTCACCCCCTTTTATTCTCCATTTTTTTCCTGTCTTGACTCTGATGGGGGCTCTTTTTGTGCAAAACAAGCCCTTCTGATCTCTTTGAAAGGCCAGCTCATGTCATTCTTCCAGATCATCATTGTATGACATGTTTTTATATCAGGCTGACAAAGGAGCTATTTGATCAGGGGGTATGGTGTGTGATTGTAAGAAATTCAGCTAGCCGGTGGCAGCCATTGTTCCCCAAAGCGGCTCCCTGACCCCATTCTATTCAAGGAAAAACTCCCTTGGAGTGGCCTCTATTCATTGAGTAACACCAGTCCGCAGTCTCACTCCAGGAGTATGCTCAATTCAGAGGTGTGTCACCGATATTGCCCATCAACCAGCCTTTAACTCTTTCATCAGCATTAGGTTTCCAACACGACAGCTGTTATCATAGGATGAGCTGGGCCGGGGGGGTTGTTATGCATTCCAGCTCGCTGAAGCTCTCCTTATCTCGGAGAAATTTAACCTTCTTTCCAAAAGTTGCATTGGAAAATGTCCGTCTGCTGCTTCCTGCAGTGAAGCCTGAGTCGTCTGCCTTCCCATCCCCGTGCCCTGAAACATCCCAGTTTGTTGTCCGTCTTCTAAAACAAGTGTCTCGGCTTGGTCAAGCTCGCTCAAGGCTTTGCATTGATTTAAATTATTTTGGGATTTGAGCAAAAATGATCTGCCACTCTCCCATGTTCCAGCTGCATCACTTCTCTTCTCCTCGATAATCTCAAACCCGTGGTGCACCCACGGCACCAGTGCTGCTACTTGCTGTGGGACAGAGCCTTCTGTGCCCCCAGGTGATGTTCCATCTCCCATCATCAGCAGAGAAAACTTACAGGCTTCCCACAAGCTCCGAGAGGACTGTGCACTGAAACTGCTCCTGTCCCTTAAATGGATACCTCCCAGCACTAACACAGAGCCTCAAAATCTCAGGGAAATTTGTTCAAATGCTCCCCTTGGGTTCAAAAAGCCATGGATCAGAGCCACTGCCTTGTGCCTAACTCTGGTTATTTGAGCATTGCCTTGCAGCCTACGGATTTGGCATGACAGTGATGAATGGTTTTGCATACTGCTGGGGGAAATGTCTAGGTGACAGGATTGACATTGGCCAGCCCGGTACAAATTCAGACACACAGGTCTCTGTCTGCACCTTGAGGGAAGTCTCTGAAGCAAACTAAGCTCAGCACACCCAGCTTAGCGTGGCTCTGCTGCGCCTTTCCGTGCAAAACTTTTTCCCCATGCAGCAAGCAAGTCCTCTGACTCTCTTGCAAGCCATCTCCCATGGTTGCAACATCCTAGAGAGCAGAGTTACTTGCAGGGCCTCCTGGTGAGCCTTTAGCTCGTTTCCCTGGTTGGAAACACAGCCCTGGTTTGAGCATCACCGCTCCATCTCCTGCATCCTTCCTCCGCCAGCGCGCATCCTGCCCGGCGTTTGGTACCACCTTGATAGCGGCTATCTCCGGGATCGGGATTTGTTAATAAACTCGGGCTCCCTCTGCTGGGACAGAGCATAAAATACTGGGGGGGGCTGCCTGCATCACCAGCCTACTTCACTGCTGGAACTCTTTATTTTTGCTGTGCTGTTTCAGTAGCTGTCACGGCGAGCCCTGCGTTTTTCTCCACTGGGTGATAACGATGAAATGATCTGCACTGCAGCATCCTTCACTGCACGCCCCAAAACCTTTCGGAAGCTTGCATTAAACTTCCAGTGACCTGTGAGTTTGGCATCACCTCTGTTTTACGCGTGAACTTTTTGCATGAACCTCAAGCGTGCGCAAAAGTCCCAGTAAATTGGGGAAATCCTCTCCTACCCTCACCCAGCAGCAAAACCCAGCTGAGTGCATGGAAAAACGGCTTCCAGGGTGGCTGAGCACAGTCGGCACCGCAAAGACCTGCATTAACTGGGCTGTCAGGATAAACCAAGCAAAGAGAAATGTAGATAAATGTCAGGGAAAAGGCCCAGGAAAGACTGCAACCTGCTAGGAACGAGATGCACAGCCCGTCTTTTGGTAGACCCCACAAAGCTGCAGAGAAGACACTTCAGGGAAACATTCCCAGAGAGCCTAGGACTCTTCCCATCTGCTGCCTGTGAATTCAGCATGCTGCATTATCTCTGTGACCTTTAATCCACCCCTAGTTACTGTGCAGAATGTTACTGCATCAACGTTTTTTCCAACAAAAAAGTGCAGTGCGGATCAAATTAAATGCATTTCCTCAGCAAAGCTGCTGCCTTCGCCGGCCGCTTCTGCCTTCCCTGCCCCGAGATCGCTGCTGAGGTTAAGCAGGCTGAGCTGGGTGTCGGACCTTCCCTGAAACTGGAGCATTTCCTTAGCAGCTCAAAGCAGGCCGAATAACTCAAGGAGACCTGTTGCCATCCATGACAGCACCAACAGCTCTCGCCAGCAATTTGGGCACTCAGATTGCAGCCAAGACTACGGCACTGCCCTGCAGCATCCTGACATTCCCCCTGCTGCCTCCAATCTTAAAAATATATATATATGGGCTGTTGGCAGACGTGCTAATTCACTGTATTGATGGGGAAAGATTTGCTTCCATAAAAAAACGTATCTCTAAAAAAAATACAGCAGCTAAGAGCTTCAGTGTTTCCCCCTCTGTAGCAACCAGCTGTCCCCTCCAGTTCTTGTCCTTTAGCTCACACCACCAGGAGAGCCTCCCACACCACAGGTAGCAAATACAAAAGAAAAGCCACGTCCTCACCACCCGTAAGGTGTCCCAAGTCACAGTGCCGAGGGCTTGTCCAAAATCCTAGCTCACGGAGCTTCATGGTTAGAGACAAAAATAGCTGTAATTTTTTTCTCCCTGTTGGGAAGTTTCTCATCCTCACTGAGGCCAAGGCAAGCTGGCTTCCTCAGGGAGCCCCAGATGAAGTCTGGTGACTGGAGTTACTGGGACCATGATGGCCTGGGGGTTGCTCCATCCCACCACTCCAGCTGGTGGCACGTCCCATGGGGACACCTCCATGCCACATCTTACCAATAACGGTGCTCTGGTGCTCAGCCTGGTTCTGGGAACATCACATCTCCTCCTTGCGATGCCCTGGTGCTGGACAGGCAGCTCTGCAGTGGAGACAGCCATCAAGCACAAGTAATCCCCCCGCGCCGGTGTCAAGTGCAGAGTGAAACCCGGCGAGGGGAGGTGGTGAAACCCTCAGCTCCTCGCAGCGATCGCTCTGAGAGGCAGTGAAGTGCGGGCACTTCTCCGAGCCCCCTGTGTATCAGCAACCACTGCCCTCCCCTCCTGCTCCTCCAGTCGCTGGGTCTGGGGATGCCCCTTCACCACCCAGCAGCGAGCAGCAGGAAAATGGTTTTCCTACCATTAATAGTGGTGGGATGCAGGTCAGTGCACCAGGTTCTGCACATATTGCAACAAGTCATAGCCGTGTCCTTTTGGATTTGGGGTTTCCACAGCACTGTCCTTTCCTCTCCCTGGTCAGACCCTCTCCATCCTTTGGTTGCTCCCAGGCAAGTGCTCCAGGACAGCACCTGCAGATGGCAAACCGCTCTCCAAGCGCAGACTCTGCCAAAACCTGTGGCTGTATGAAAGCCTCTGCGCTCGCTGTGATGACCGGGCATAGAAAAATTGCAAATACAGGCACTGAAGATAATTAGGTTGCACAAACCTCTTCTCTCAGAGCGAGTCTACTGAAGTCAGGGGAATGACTGCAGATTTACTCTGTCACAACGGAGAGCAAAAATAACTCTGACTTCACCAGCTGAACGTTTCAATGACCAGAGACGGAGCCCTCCTGGGCAACTGTGATGGTCAGGATTTCAGGATTCATTATGAAAGTAACGCTGCCTTTGCTTTGGAGATGTGCTGTAGCCTTTGCAGCAGGAAATGAGGGATGGGAGACCGTAACCATGCTTTAGCTGTGCCTCCCGTGGGCATCATCCGTACCTCTGCTCTTCAAAACTGGCAGAGGCACAGCGGGCCTGACTGAACGAGGGTCAGAGCTCCACAGTCAGCCTCGAGCTGTCTGGAAGTCCCTGCAGGAAATTTTGGGAAAACATCAGCCCCGGGTGAGGGTGATCACACCGGTGGGTGGCCACCGCATCGCTCGTCCTCCCAAGGCGCTGGACACAAGCAAGGCAATGATGGGCTCCCCTGCCAGGTGCTGCGGCCAAAACACTTGGCTCCACTTCACAAGAGACGTTGACAGATGGGAATCAGCTTTAAAAAATAGCTCCCAGAGGTGAGAGAGGCTTGGAAAACCTGCTTTCAGTGCCTGCAGAAGCTTGGTCAAGTTGGATGGCATGGTAAAGAAGAAAAGAGCGCAAGATCAAGTGCCAGGAGCTGAAGTTGGGCAATTTCAAGTCAGAAACACCAGATAATATTGAAATACGGAATCCTTGCAGGATATCCTTCCTTCCTTACTTGTCTGTAACCGAGGACTACAGCTTTCACTCAGAGGATACTGAGCAGGATCCTCTCATCAGGGTATTGCAGGGGACTGGACCAGGCAGTCAGGGTAATCCCCACGAATTTAAAATCTGCTCCTGTATGAAGACAGGGTTCTTCCACTAGGGATGTGGGACAAAGTCCAACCTTCACTCAGAGCTGGGGAATTGGACCTGAGGTTTAGCAAAAGATCAGTTCTGTGGTTTTTTACTTCATTTATAGCTCAGATTATTGCATATAGACATTGCTTCCCCCTCTGGACCACTTCCATACCTTTTCTTGGCCTCTCGCAGACTGATTCAGCTGATTCCCAGCTCTGCCAGGAGTCCTTTCAGACCTTAATCCTTCTGTGCTCTGACTCCCTCCACTCCTTCTCTGAAATGGGGCTGTGCCACTTGCTCCCAGCCCCAGCTGCGAGCTCCTTGGTGCTCACCCCTGCCTCCGTGCAGGGCCCAGAAGAGCATCAGCTGCTGTGGCACAAGCTATGATGTGGAACGAGGACACAGGACTTCAGTGAAATAGCCCTGGAAAGGTTGTGTTACTTCTCCTGCTGGATTCTCTGCTGAGAGTTTGGCTCGGTCGTGCTGGCTGCTGAAAGCAGAGCCAGCCTGATGATGATGGAGCATTTTCAGCGTCTAAAAAAAGCCCCCAACAAAACCAACGCCTGCTGTTTATAACTGACTTTCTCTGGTTTACAGAAAAAGCCCGAGCGGACGGAGCTCCCCCAGCTCCAGCAGGTGACAAGCTCCCATCCTCATCTCCTGGAGGGATGCACTTAGCAGCAGCTGCAGAGGGAGCAGGACGGGCAGAAGATGCACCGGCCAGGATTGCCACATTCAACCTAAATAGCTAAATACACGTGCTGCAAATCCATCTGCTCACAGAACAGGGAGTGGGAAAGCTGGGCTCTCAGCTCTCCTGCTTACCCAAACTTCTCTTTTTTGCCCTTTGTGAGAATCAGGAGCTCCTTGTCCTGCTGGAAGCCACTGGGACCCAGCTTCAAAACCAGAGCTCTGGTTGCTGTGCCATGGCCCTGGCAGCACCACAGCCCCCTGAATACCCTCAAACACTCAAGAACTGAGGTTTTGAATGCCAAGCACTTGCTCCGAGCCCTGCACCACTCTGCAGTGTCCGTTTCACAAGGTCAACCTCTGCAGCACGTCCTCTGCGTTTTCAAAGCGCTTCCCAAACAGGTGGCTGCCTCCCTCCTCCCCGTACATGCTGCAGCTTGAATCGGCCACTTTGATCAGGGGGGAAACATCCCCGCAAAGCCCTTGATGTAGCACCAGCAACGTGTTAGAAGCAAACTGCCAGTGCGTGGTGGAGAAACAGGGCCTGAGACAGTGGAGGGAAATGGAAGAAGACCTGACCAGCAATCCTAAGCAAACCGTGCCTGAATCCCAAGCTGTCAGCCCTCCCCAGGGCTCAGAGAGTATTTTATGGCTTTAATAGAGATACTCACATCTGCAGATGTGTCTGCATTGCCCACCAGCAGGCTCAGGCCAGCATCCCAGGCTGCTCTGGAGGCACTCCCAGGCTTGCATATGCTGGTGGGCCCTGCCCTCCCTGTAGGAGCCCCCAGCTGGCTGTGCAGATGGAAAGGGCCCAGGTGATTTGTGGAAACACCTGAACGTCTAAATCAGACAAACTCGTCTTTGCAGATTCACTGGGTGGAAGAGCAGCTGGGGAAGAGACCTGGACACCAAGAGCTCTCCATCCAAGGAGGCGTTGGATGCCCTGATAATCCATGGGGACAAGGGGCTGCCCACCTGAGCATCACGTGCCAGCAGAGCTGGCTCGCCAGTTCATCCCAAAATGCTACGATGACCCCATACGTTAACCAAAATGGGCAGAAAGCCTGGCCACAGCCTTGTCTGTTCCATGGCAAGGGACAGCTCTCGCGTTTGTCCGAGCCAGCTGCGCTCCCAGAGCCTTGGCTTTAATGGTGCTTTGTGAAGCAGGTTGGCTCCTCCGAAATCAATCATTACCAGCAGTTAGCTGTTTGATGGTTAACAGCCTGAACCGAAGCCAAACTGGTTGTTAATTGGGCTAACAACCCATTTCAAGGGGTTGTTCTGCAGGGCCCAGTGCTCCCAGCAATTGACCGGGAGCTGTAACTAGCAGCCGGGCTGCAATTAGCAGAGCCCGGGGAAATTCGCAGGCCATTACCAAAGGGCCGGCTCCCAGCTGGGCAGCTGCTTCTCACGGGTGATGGGGCCTAAGCGTGCAAATCGAGCCAGCACTCGGGGTCCCCTTTCACATCCCACAGCCAAATTTTTCCTACCCGCGTGCAGCCCGGGTGTGCTCATCCCGCGTTTCAGCTGCTGCGGCAGCGTTTTTGGTTGTGGGTTGGGTGGTTTTGGGGCATGGCTACTGAAATTTCTCTCACATTTGCTATGAGCACCCACAGGGACACCATCCCTCATCCCTCAGCATCCCTCAGATCCCCTCCCAGGGCTCTCCTTTGCCACGGCAGCAGCTAAACCAGGGGCCACGCTGAGGTCTGTCTGCTGGCTTGTGGCACCTGTTGTAGCTGACCACACAAAACTCAAGCCCTTGGGGGAAAGGGCTGCTGTTCACTCTGTGAGCAGCTCATAAAAGAAGAGATTCCAGCCACTGGGGTGTTACTCCAATATACAGAATAATCATGGCAAAAGAGGCTGAGTTTTTCCATCTCCTGCTATAAAAGCTCTAAGAAAGGGGAAAAGGGGGAAGCAGGGACACAGGTCAGGCTCCCACAGCCCTCAGCATCCCATTTCCAGCCCACAGCTACTGACAGAAGCAGCTCAGCAATACCTGGGCACAGCTGATGTGGTTCTCCCTGACACAGCCCAGCCACTGGATCAGGACTTTTCAGCCGCAGTTTGCATCTTGGCCATCACATCTGACAGCCCCAGGGGACCTCCTGGAGCTACAGCCCCTGTAGGAGAGATGGTGTAAGATGCATAAACCCCAAGTGCATTCCCTCTACCCCCAGAACATCTAAATTATGTTTCTTTGCAGAGTAGACTGGGCCGTGAGCACTGGCTGTTGTCTCCAACCCAACCACAACAGGACCTCTGGCTGGCATGGTACAGGGCCAGTGGGTGGACGAGCAGTTTTTCTGGAGATCAGCACTGCTTCCACACCAACTCTGCTCCTTCCCATTAAACCAAGTCCAAAATATCCCTCCAACATCTCTCGAGAGCTCCTCTGATGCACCAAGGCCCAGCTGCCACGTGTCACCAGGCACGTAAGTCGTCATACCAAAGGACATGGATTGCTCTTCCTCACTCCAGGAGGAAACAAAATGACAAACACAGTCACAAAACGTCTTCTCCATGCCATGGCATCCTCCCCAAAATGCTTACCCCATTCCTGGAGAGCAGCCTCCTGCCCCAGCCCCAAAGCAGAACAAGGCCGCAGCTCCCTGCCCCAGAGGAGATGACCAGGGGGAAGCTGGGGGCAGCCTGGTTTTTAGGGGTGAGCTCTCACTGCCGGAGGTGTGTGTGGGCAGGGGGCAGAGATGCTGCAAATGGGAAGCGGGGTGGTAACGAGGAGCAGATGCCTAGGTGCTTGGAGCATCCCAGGTGCTACAGAAGTGCTAAATGTGATTATCATGGCCAGGAAACAGGCCGTGAAAACCCGCTGCACTCCACATCCTCTCGCTCTCTGCCTTCTCCAGGACCTGGGGCAGAGCCTCCCCACCAGCCCCAGGCAAAGGGGAGCCAGCCTGGGGGGGGGGTCTTGGCTGTAACTTTCCCGAGGACCCCCGGGATCAGGGGGGCTGTGCAGAAAGGAGAGGAGCACAGAGAGAAAGGCCCAACAGGGGAATTGGGGCTGGGTGTGGTGCAGTCCCAGCAGCACCATGAAATGATATTTCCCTGCACAGGACTCATTTGGTAGCCACCCTGCCCAGGATTCCCCTTCTCATGGGTTCCCAGCTCCCTTGGGAGACCCCTGAGCTCATTTCTGTTCTACCCTGCACCTCCCTCCAAGGATGTCCCCAGGAGGCTTGGGACCACGGCTGGGGCTTGCTGGCACCAAGCAGGGCACGGGGCACTGCTGAGCCCTCTCTGCTGGCAGGATGCAGCCCAGTTTGAGCTGGGGTAGCTGCACTGGAGCAGAAATATGGGATGCCCCACGGAGCCCCCGAGCATCCCCGTTTCTGGCTATAAATCCCCTCCCAAGGAGGGGTCTGGAGAGAGCACGGCCGAGATGATCGGCCGTCCCCCGCCCCCTCCCCGAGAGGAATTGCCCTCAAACAAATGAAATGTGTGTAATTAATGGGCAGGGGGCTGGACAAGTCCGAGATGAAAGCGTTTCCTGGACTTGTCCTTCATTTGCATGGTATCAGAAGCTGTTCAGAAGGTGTGACTTTTCCCACAGGGAGCCCTCAGCTCGGTGGCACAATAAAGCCAGGACTTCTTACCCAGAATTAATTAAAGGAGGGGGGATGGGGATGGCAGGGAGATGTTTGAAAGCTGAGCCTGATGCAATAAACAAACACCCCAGTCCTCCCTCCTGAGCTGGGGCATGCCCGGGGGGGCCCAGGTGAGCCCCATCCCTGCGCACAAAGCTCACCCTGCTCGGAGGGTGCCCAGACCTCGTGGACAAGTTGTGTTAGGTTGGCCCTGCAGCGAAGACAAGAGGTGTTCATACAGCAAGAGAGGGGCTGGGAGCAGGGGCAGTGTGTGCCTGAAGGCTGGGGGCACCAAGCATTGGTGCAGTGCAGGAGCGCAGCCCCCATTCCGGCACCATAGGACCCTTTTCTTGCTATTTCCATTTATTCCTGCCCATCTAATGATTCTCTGCCATAGCTACGTTTAACCTGAGAACAGCTCTTCTTCCTCCTCACGTTGCTCTGGCAGATTCATTCGAGGCAGCCCCACGTTTACAGCAGCCTCCTGGTGTCACCGATGATGTCCTGGTGATGCCAACCCTCCCAAACCTTGCTCAGCTCCAGCCTCGCCCCTGAGTCCAGCCAGCTTCACCCAGCAATGTCCTCATCAGGCCAGGAGGCACATATGCTGCTCTTGAAGCTCAGGAGTGGAGATCAACCCTACACCAACATCCAGGGCTGGACATCTCCACTCCTGCTTCATCTGCCACCTCCCCGCAGCCAGGGGACCGCAGGGGCAAGCTGCTCCAGCCAGGCCAGGGCTCAAGTGGTATCAGCGCAGGGACAGGGTATGAGGAGCCATTAATTAATTCACTTACTCATTAACTAAGCAACAGCGGGCTCTTTAATCTTCCAAGCAAAGGCAAAACAACATTTGCTGGCTGGAAGCTGAAGCTAGACAAATCCCAGCAATAAACAAAGACCCAAACCGTGGTGTTCCTGGGTAGCACGGTTACCCCAAAGCCCTTTAACAAAGAGGGGCTAATTAACCACGGACCAAACGACCTGGGAAAGCCGGGGATCCCTTCCCAGGAGCTGGGCTGAAGGACAAGGAAGGTGTCTTTCCCTAGGCTCCATCCCTGCCTGCTCCTGGCCCCAGGGTGCTGGGTGTCCCCTGGGAGGTGGGACACCCTCTTTGGGGGCTGAACACCCCCCAGCGCGCCCTGCTGATTGTGTCCCTTCGTGGGACCTGCATGGAGCCAGTCCTCCCCTCCTGCTACCCTCACCTGGAGCAGCAATCCAGCACCAATTCATCCGGGCTCACAAAGCCATTAGGAGAAGCAATTAGACAAATTAATGAAAGAAAAGCACCCATTAAGGACTATCAAACACCATCTCCACCTGGGGAAGGGCCTGGAGCCATTCACTTTTATTCCCTGGAGCCCGGGGACAATAACATGGGCTTGCCCCAGCGCTCTCAGTCCCAGACACCCACAGCCCTTGGGTCCCAACCAGTTTTTAATAACACAAGCCTTGGTTATTAGTAATAAAAAAATAATAAAATAAAAATTAACAATCCTGTTCCTGCCTCTTTCACCACCTAACCAGAATAAATGAAGCCAGGTGGACCAGCAGGATGCTCGGAGCCGCACTGGCGCTGCTCTGCTTGGACAACGTGGTCCCTGCTTCACACCAGGACCTGAAACCCCATCAGCTCCTCTGGGCAAGCCCAACAAGGGCTGAGCCACCACCAGAGGAGGGGACCCAACAGCCTGCTTCGGTTTGTATGGACACCAAGCTCACCCAGAGCAGAGGGGAGCAGAAAACCTGCTTTCTGTCTTGGAAAACCTCATCCGATGCCTAAACCACAGGTCCTCTACTGCACCATGCCCCTGTTCAAGCTCCCATGGACCTGTCTGCTCCTTAAACCTGGAATTTCCTACAAAGATAGCCACGATTCCCATAAAACCCACCTGGGTCCAAGATCTCAGGTATCCTCCTGCTTCCCATACCTGCTCCCTGGGGATGGAGCTCACACCAAGCAGCATCCTCAGCCTGTCCTGCACCTCTCCATCCTCCCAGTCCCCTCTCCATCCTGCATCTCCAGCCCCAGCCCTCCCGGGAAAGCAGGCAGGCTCCAGTTAGACTAATACAAATTTTTAATGCACATATTAAATAAATATTTCCATCATTTCATATTCAATTTGTACACAACCAAAAAAAAAAAAAAATCCTCAAGGAAACAGAAAACAAACAATCAAAAAAAAAAAAGATTGGATGAAAAGTCACCCCTGGTCCTGGCTCCTATCCAGTGTCTTTGTTTGCCCTCCCCGTTAGGAATAATTGCTTTAACCCTTCAGAGAAAGGCACGGTCCCAGGGCAGCATGTGCAGAGCGGGGCTGGCTGGGGATGTTCACTCAAGGGAATTAATGTTTCCCTTGTGTTTTTTTTCCTAAATAAAAAATTGGGCTTCTGTCAGCACAGATTTTTACAGAAAACCTCTAATTTCCCTGAAAAAATAAAAATTGGCAGTGTTTTTCATCAGAGAGCACACCTGGAAGAGAGAGTTGGAAATGGAAGCGTCAACCACAAAGCGAGTGTTACAACAAAACCAGCCTGAAATGGCTCCACAGCAATTTGTAAACTTTTTTAATTAGATGAAAACATCCATCTGATTAAAAAAAATAAACAGAAAAAAGTTCACATTTTCCTCATGGAAAAAAAAAAAAAAAAAAAAAAAAGATACCACCAGCCTGCTCCACAGCAGCCATCGCCTGCTGCCTCACCGTAGTAGTTCAGGAAAAAAAGGAAAATTATAAAAAAATCCAGAGATGCTCTAGTGGGCGAGAGGTACCAGTCAGTCCAGGACTTTGTGAGGTGTCCATCACCTCCTCCTGCTCCCGAGGACAGAAACAAGCGGTGCTGGGAAGGGGCTGGAATGGACCCGGGGGTCCTCGCCTCCGACACGTCCCCTCCCCATCATTTTCAGACTTCTCCATCCTCTCCGGCAAGCATCCGCTCAGTTCATTTAGGTAGCACGTTGCCCCCACGTTTGGATTTCCTTTTTTTTTTTTTTTTTTGCTTGTTTGCTTTAAACGATGATTTTTTTTTTCCTCTCCTTTCCCCCTAGAGCTACAAAAAAAAAAAAAATTACAGAACAAAACACGACCCCAAACAGACTAGACCACTGCTAAGCGAAGGGCTCTTCCCCCCCCTTCACCAGTCTCTGAGCGTTTCATCTCTTTTCGAGTTGGAGTACAAAAATAGAGCCTCTTTTTTTTTTGCCTTTTTTTTTTTTTTGTAAAAACAAAACCACCCCTCCCCAGATTATCAACAACTACCGCAGGAAATTTTCTTTTTTTTTTTTTCTTTTTAAATCCTCCCCCCATCCCCCGTTGTGTTTTTTTTTTTAATAACCACATAGGAAAGTCTCTACGGGTCAAGTCCACCAAGCTCTTAAGCAGAGTCCTCGGGGGGGCTCGGCGAGTCAAGGGCCAGCCCTGGAGTTTCTAGTCCTTTTGCTCCTGCGGTTGAAGGGGTAGTTGAGGAACTCGAAGCGCCGGTGGGGCTCGGTGGTCTGGTGGCCCTTGGGGAGCCGCTTCATGAAGTGCACCTCGCGCTGGTGCTGCCGGGTCTTGGAGCCCTTGCGCGGGCGGCCCTTGCGGGTGAAGGCCATGTACCAGCCCTCGTATTTGGCGTTCTGCAGCGCCGTGTAGTTGTTCTCCAGGACGATCTCCGTGAAGACGCAGTCCTTGCCTTTGCCGTTGCTCTGCACGGGACAGAAAGGGGCAGGGGGGGTCAGCAAACGGGGTTCCTCGCCGCCCCAGCTCGGGTTTTGGTGCTTGTGGGGGGCTCAAAGCTTATTTTCCACCTCTCCTACAGGTCAGAGCTGCCCCAAAGCTATTCCCAGGGCAATGTCAGCACCGGGTTGTGAGCCCCCATGCCAAGCTCCTCCACATTACACACAGCACCAGGACCGGGGAGAGGCCCCACAGCCCCAGGGGATGGAAAATCCTCCCAGAGAATCGCTGCCCCATGGGGATTGCCCCCATCCAGCCCCCTCTGCCCTAGGGAAGGAGCACAGTGGCTGGAAGGGAGCATGATTTAAGCAGCCTGCCCCACGGAGCATCTCGACATTCCCGGCCCTTGTACCATGTAATCGGGGAGAATAGCCCAGCAACCCGCCTATTTGTTCGGGGAGATACAAGGAATGCGCCCCACACGGCACC